CACTCTGCCTGTCTCTCCCTCCCCCATGCTATCACTCTGCCTGTCTCTCCCTCCCCCATGCTATCACTGTGCCTCTCTCTCTCTCCCCCATGCTATCACTCTGCCTCTCTCTCCCTCCCCCATGCTATCACTCTGCCTGTCTCCCTCTTTTCCACATTCACTCCCCCCCCACCCCACACACACACTCTATCAAATCTCCAACTCCCCACCTGACTCCCCCATTCCCCATTCCCTCCAGATCCCACCAGGGGGCGCCGTGCGTACCTGACGGGCAGCGTGCGGTCCCCTTTCCGACGATCCATCTCCCTCTGTGGGACAGGGTACCAGCGGAAGTTGAGCTTCCAGTTGAAGCCGCCGTAGGTCATGTCGGACCCGGCCATGTACTCGAAGGTGTCGTCGCTGATCACGTCGATGATGGGACACACCACGGTCCTCCTGCAAGCATGGCACACATGAGTTTCGACAAGCGTACAATCGACGTGACAAGGACGAGCCTTAAACACATCACGTGGGACACAGTTACATCATTTCCACACTCGTGGGGTGCGACCCCAGCATTGCGGTCGCTATGACGACACCTCGGTACGATTCACAGACGCCGATTTTCTCGCATTATTACTCGTTCAAGTAACGTTAACCTTAGGCAATAACATCATACAAGCATACCCTATCGAGAGTGAAGGGGGAGGATGATGTGCCTGGGGGGTCCTTTCAGGTATGATATCGCTACTGAAACACCAAACCTACCCCCACCATGTGACTATAGAGTGACCTCACCCACTGCATGGCTGACCTGTGCACCATATATGGCCCCACCTTTTCCATCTCTCTTCTGGATAATCTGAGGGACCGACTGATTCCATCACGGTCGGGTCCATAGTGAGACCGTTTTCAATATCATTGTAAGTCTCGCTATCCCGGTTAATACTGATCCACGTCCATGTTTCCCAGACTGTCAGAGCATGCACAGCACTCCACACACTCTCACCCGCACGGGTGAGGTGCTGAGAGCAAGGATAAGATGCTCCGGGATGCCAACAGCAGCAGCAACAAGCTAAGGAAACAACCTGAGCTCTGTAGGCTGAAACAGCAGCAGGGCCACGCAGACTGACCCCAGAACAGGGCAATCAGCGCCGAAATAGCAGCCAATCAATGCTCCCCTCAGCACAAACCCGAAGGCTGACCACAGAACAGGGAAATCAGTGCCAAAATAGCAGCCAATCACAGCTCCCCTCAGCAGAGCCCTGCAGGTTGACCCCAGAACAGGGAAATCGGTGCCAAAACAGAAGCCAATCACAGCTCCCCTCAGTCCCACCCTGCAGGCTGACCCCAGAACAGGCAAATCACAGCAGCCAATCACAAACTCCAGTCCAGAACATGTCAGTTCAAAGGAAGACTGTAGGCGAACAGGCTGCCACACACAGTGTGGGTGGTGATTACAGCATAACACACCGAGAGGGTGAGAAGGTAATTAGCAGAGTGAAACAAATAGGAGGAGGAGCTCCATGCTGGTGGCCTCACAGAGCACCTGCAGGGGCGGAGGCTTGTCACCAGGAGCACAGCGGATGTAGCATCTGGGGCACCGTCTGCAGGCTCCGCCCACACAGCACAAGACGTCAGTCTGCTCTGTGATTACCCAAGTCAAGTGACATTTTAGCACTGCCGGTGCTGAAATCGAAACTTCATATAAAAATAGTTCAATGTGTTGTGAGAAGGTGGGGGTCATCTGCATTCTGTCAGCAGCCCCCCCAGACTGTCTGGGCCATGGGCTCCCGCGAAGAAACGCTCCGGTACCACGTGACGTGGCGCCCACAGCCACCCGCTCCGATGACACGCTTGTTGCTACACGAGCAGAGGCGGGTCGCCGCTCCTCTGGAGTCACGCTGAGGAACGTGGCGAGGGCGTGATGAGAGCCTGCCTTCCTCGCCGATGTGCTCCATGCTCACATCTCCAATCCTGGCTTTACCACAAACGATGAATATTTCTGTCAGAAGCAAGCCAGGATGTGCTCTTAATAAGGAGCAAAGAAGATGAAAGCCACCTTTAACACCTCAGTCTCCCGTCTCCTACCAGAGGCGCTCTCCAAACCTGGCTTAGAACTGCTTAGGAGGGGACGATGACAGACTCGGCAAGAAACTTTTAATCAGGGCCTCGGCCGTGTCGCTCCGCTCTTCGCCTACACTTTTATCATTTGCATTTTTTTTCTTCTCTTAGGCGGAATGACTAAGGTCCCATGATGCAATCTGCTCAGTGACAGAGGCAAGCAATGCATTCTGGGTTTTGTAGTCTTAAGGGCAACAAAATTAATGGCGGCAGGTGGTTAAGGCTGTGTCTTCACTCCCTAGTCCTGAACATGGAACAAGCATGGTGAATCAGAGATATAAAGACCAGGGCAACAAGGGAACACAGCAGATGGGAAACAGGATGCTGTAGCCAACCGCCCAAAAAGAAAAATCCGCTTTTAGTTAAATCCCCATGGTCACCTGCCCTCTCAATTCCACCTCATCTGATGAAAGCTCTTAAATCTAGATCCTAAATCCAAGATTTAAACAGAATTAATGCCATTCTAAAACATAAAGGATCAGGTGAATTTAGTGAGAAGCGTGATTCAGGACACCAGAAAGTCACAGAATTTTAACATGAAAGAGATGGCAGACCTGGGCTCCTGGCCCCACGTACCTGTCCATTTTGATTCGGGCAAGCAGGGGCTCCAGCCAGCCGACGGTGCATTCACAGTGGGCATCTAGGAAGGTGATGACCTGGCCCGTGGAGAGCGAGGCCCCCTTCAGCCGAGCACGGATCAGCCCAGACCGCTGCTCCATCCGCACCACCCGTACCGGCACCTCCAGCTTCCGGACGTACTGCTCCAGCGGGCGCTTCAGGAAATCTAGCAAATAAGAACAAGGTGGACAGGATGAGACCGGGATGGACAGCCTTTCAAAAGATTAGATGGGAGAAGACAGGGGAAGACCCACTTACAGAGGGACTGATGGGAGGAGACAGGGGTGGGCAGGCTACCAGACGGACTGATGGGAGGAGACAGGGGTGGGCA